CCAGAGGACCAGGGGATCAGAGGACCAGGGAATTTATTTTGTTTTTGATCCTCTTATATTTCTTAATTGATCCCTTTTTATTTATTTTTTGATCCTTTTTTATTTTTTATTGATCCCTATCCCACAAAGAGCCATCTCATGTAGTGGGTACTTGCTTCGCCACTGTGCGGTCTGAATAGCTTTCTTCTTTGCTGAATTCAGGTCATGCAGTAGTCGTGCAGTAGTGCTGAGATAGGAGATTCCACCAGCCAGCATCTTCCTCCAGCCGGCACTTCCGCGTGTCAGGATTTCCGACTGATCCTTGGCATGCAGGTGTTGCACATGGCTCGCACTGAGAGTGCAAGCTCGAGCCCATACACGTAACATGGCTGAGCCCCAGTGAAATACGCCGCTTGCCTGTTAGTACAGAGCCCCACAAGGCTTCATACTCTCGCAGCGAATTCTGTTCAACTTGCAGAGCCTCTTGCGCAATTTCATGCACGTTGATTCTCCAAACTTGCAGTCTGTAATTCCTCCTTGCCGACAATAACCAAAGTCGGATCAGCAACTGTATATGCACTGTTCGCTGAACTCCCCATATCAGCGGGTGAGGGGCGGTGCATGCATCGCTTCTCCGAAAAAGCTTGCAAACTTCCAGTATATCTTCCATGTAGTTCTCAATTCTCGGTCTGGATGTGAATTCATCGTTGTAATAAATGATGCCGCTGACCAATCGGCTAGTGTGGCATGCAATGTAGTCGGCTTCGTCCACCACTGTTTAGGGATCTTGGGGTTAATGTGCTGCGAGCTGTTGCTTGACTTAATACTCCCTTCCCCACCCCATCTCACCCCCATTAGGAAGGAGCCGGGTCTGCAGCAGCCTCGGGACAGCTGGCGCGATGTCTCCGAGCGCCCTGAGCCTTTCGGAATAGCCAGGAAACCCAAGACTCCAAGTCGTCAAAACCTCTGAGCCCGAGCTTGAACCCAGAGCCGAAACTCTGAGTCTCTACCCATGAAGCCCTCAACTTGAAATCCACACAAGCCGGCCTTCCATGCATCTATCCTGAACCCAGATCGTACAGCTTCGTGAACTCCATAGTACGGCTTCGGGCCTATAGGGACTAGGACTACATAGGATACATGACCCCATCTTCGGAAGATCCCGAAGTCGTTGAAGCGATGGTTAGCTTCCCACCGCCGGGTCGGCACGGCGAGCCAGAAGAAGCTGCACCTGGGTTCGGTTTGGAGCTTGGACGTCGGACGGGCCTTCGCTTTGACTTGTTGCTTGCGTGACTCTTGATGGATCTCCCTATCTTGACATGGTTGTGAATGTACACGGGAGCAGCGCATTTTGCTCGGCGTTCTAGCGGTGCAGGGCAGCTTTGGATTCTTGACTCCGAGTTCTTAACGAAGGTTCTACGGCTTTTGGAGGCCTCCGCCGGCAAAAATCTCAACGGACTTCCAGGGAACTCGAAGTATACTGCGGCAGTTGAACCCCGGGCCCTAAATCCGCGGGTTCCGCAAATGATCGTTACGGCCTCAAATAACAGCCTAACCATCTGCCCGCGACAACCCCAGAAGGCATCAGAAGTCCTCATCGGCCCAAACCAAAGCTCCAAGTCCGCTCAATTCCGGCGACTTCCTTCCGGGACCCCTTGCAGCTTCCGTGTGCCCGCTCAGAGCTGCAATGTGCAGTGGCGACCTCGCTGACAGGGCTTGGGTTTCCGGGGGTGCAGAGAGGCTCAGTTACAGTGGGACACTGAACCAACACATGTAGCTTATCGATACAGTTTGCCGACTCTATAACATCCAAAAGATCGGATAGACCTGTTGCAAGAGACCTTGATGTCAATCTCATATTAACATGACCCCGCATAATTGCAACGCCCAATTCCCAGAACGCAAGTAGAACCCCCCACCTCCGTATTTGCAGAATCCGAGCGGCCGGAGCGGAAAAAATGTAACCAGAATCTTGCTTCGATGAAAGCACGGCATTAAAGCGGGAGTCCTATCGTGGGCTAGTTTTCCGGGCGTCTCGGGGTCTCGATAGGGCATAGGTGGCTCCTGTTTAGGACTTGCAACCTTCATCCACAACCAACACTTTAAAACGAAAGTCGAACCCTCAGTTGCGAACCGAAGACCCTGAACTTTGTAAATTGGGGCTCTGACCCTGATGTCTGCACCTTGATCTGTAAGCATCATCCGAATCTTTCGGCTGAAGCGACTTGCGGATGCAGCTTCAGGGTCTTATAGCATGTCTCGGGGGCTGTTCCAGGCGCTAGCGCCCCTTGGAAGACTCCCACTACAAGCCATCTCGCAGGAACTCCAAATCCAAAACACGCACCGCCTCGGCACAAGTCCACATCAAAGTCCTCAGCCCTGAGTTACCACGCACTCCTTTACAGCTGGGTGTCGGAACCGACCGTCTCTGTCCAGCTTGTCCACGAGTGCACCTCGAGCGAAGCTGTGGCACCAGGAAGCAAAAGCCACGCCTGTAGACTATGCGTCTTGCATTGGTCGGGTTTCGCGAAGTTCCACCCACACAAGAACCAAAAATGACTTGCCACAGAAAGCCCAGCCATGCCCAACCCATGAAGTGTAGCAAGCAGCAGTCAAGCATCCGTGTCAACCAGGCGTCATCCGATGATTCTCATACCCGGCAAGGAGAGATCATACGATGAAACCGGTTTGACGACTTGAAGCAGCCTCATTAGGGTGACTGGACCTGGCCAACAAAAAAAGCCAACAATGCTGAATGATGCAGTGTGCGCGGCTTTCGGGTCCAAAACCGTGCATCAGCCGATCAGCCCATCAACCCTACACCCTAGCCGCCCCACACATTCGCATATCTGGCCATGTGCTTTCCCTCACTTTTCGTATCCGGAGAAGGGGTGACGGGGGGATTGGGAGGGGGGCTGGGGGGGGGGGGCTGAGTGCGACCATGTTACACAGACCAACCCAAAACCCTGCTATTTACGGCGTTTTTGCCTGCTTATACAACCTGCGCAGGCGCATGTTTGATGTTCGGCAACACGAGGCGCGGTCACAAGGGTTCATTACATCTACGAGCATGCGCAAAGCCCTGCTATTTGCATCATGTTTGCCTCTTTCAACAACATGCTGCAGGAGGATGTTTCATGTTCAGCAACATGAGGCGCTGTCGCAAGTGTTCATGCCATTTTGCAAGCATGCCCAAAACCCTGCTATTTACAGCGACTTTGCCTCTTTATACAACGTGCGTCTCCCTGGCTACATCTACAGATGGGTCTGGTGCTCGCAGTTGGATCCCAAAGCGGATGTGTCGCGGATCACTTGGGGAACGTGTGCTAAAATGACTGCCCTAAGATTGAGTCCCTGGATTTCCTGAAGTGCAAATCCCTCCATTTCCGCAGCCACACGCACGAAAACATGGAATTTACAGCACTTGCCATGTGTGCCCTAAAACATACAGGCCCGCCGCCACGCCGCCAAACATCGACGTGTGACCCCCTATGTAAACCCTAAACCCGACCCGCTGATCGACCGACGCGCAGTTTGAGAACCCACTTTGCGAGCACAATTCATTGATGTCAGGCCGCAGGCCCAACAAAGGAAACCAAAACAAAAAAAACTTGATCAAATTTGATTTCTGAGTAGAGGCTCGAGCAAGTCCTCGACTAACGTTGTTCAGAAGAATAGAAGACTGAAGGGACAGCCAGGCACACAATCGAAAACGCCAGAACCAGCCAACGACGCACCGGAATTCTAAAGAAAGAGCTGACAAACCTCTCACAAATCATGACAAGCAAGTCTCACAAGCCGGAACCACAACCGCCCAGACTGATGCCTTGATCCAAGGTGTAGTCGATGGCTTCCGGCTTGCCTGCAGAGGCCTGAGCCCAGAAATTCATCAGGGATATTCGCCGCACTGACATTGACATGGAACCAGTAAATGCACATAGTGAGAGGAGCACTTGCAGACTAGCAGCATCTAGCAGCAGCAGGGAAAAGGATGCGGACGACGATGGTCAGGAAGAAGCAGGTGCTGATGACAACGACATCATCAATGCAACGTTCACATGTCCCAGAACGTCATGACATGTCATGACCATGAACACTATGGTGATGGTGGTGGTACTCCTCGTCGTCATCGCCTTCTTCTTCAACATCATCATCACCATCATCAGAGCGCTTCAGCTGCGTTTGATGCATTGGAACTGATGAGGCTCCGGGCTCGCGAATTCTCAACCAGCCCGAACTGATCTCCAATCACTTTAATCGACGCCCTCCGAAGGGCAGCTTCTCAGATTCGTGGGGATCATAGCAGACGACGCAGCAAGAAGGGAAGCTGACAGTCCCACACTGAGAACCCCCAATGCTCGTCTGAATCTGAAAGATTCTGAAAATACCACACTGAGCCGCCCCCAATGCCCCCGAACAACCCCCAAACCTGAGGCACTAACCTCCACAGCCCAACCCTGAGCAAACCTTGAAGCCAGAACAGCGTCGACTTACACCCGACTCCTACTCTCTCGACCGAAGGCCCTGAGCTTCCGGCAGCCCAGTGAAGCACTGTCTGACCAGTTCCATCCTGATCAGAAGCTCCGGGGCAATGCAGGGACCTGGTGTAAGAAATGCTGCAAGACAGTTCGCCACACTGGCAAAGACTAGCTGTAAAGCTCATGCAAATTAAAAGTAGAAGATAAGCGCTAATCCTGTTTCCCAAAAACAGCAGCCCAAGAAGTTCGACTAACAGGGTCTGTCGTGGCTTCTGCACGGTCGCTGGGGGCCCTGCTACCACATTGGCCTCGTACTCCTCCAAGAAGCTCGTTAGCCTCGAAGTCCCTACCATCCAGTCAAACCCATACACAAGGCTGCACACATGAGGCTAATTGCGGCATTTCTTCCTTCACCAAAGAGATACAGCTTACCGTGGCTCGCCTGAGGTCTCGTAGGAGACACTGGGAGGCCGAAGCTTTGAAGCGACCCAACTCCGAGGCTTTGGCGTAGGCAAATCTCGCACAGCCTGCGGACGCGACGGCCCGAAGGGGGTGCATGCGGCTTGTTCAGGCATTCTACAGAGGGCCAACACGCACCTGTCATCAAAAGGCTGGAAAGTATCAGCTTCGAAAAGCTGCACGCACTGACTTGTGGCTCTTTCGGGCTGACCCCAAAGTATTCCAAGATCGGAAGGCAGAGCCCCAAACCCAATGTCACAGTGCAGGATGCAAAGTTCTGCTTCCACCGATCTCTTTGGGTGGCCCCTGCTGCTAAGCCCCTGTCCATGGCGGGTGTTATTCGCTCTTCAGCTCCTCCTGCACCGGTAGGGACAAAGTGGCTGAAGACTTCTCGAACTGCTAGCGACGGGCATGTCTTTGGTGTCGAGGTTCTTCGGAAACCTACCCACATGGAGCCGGCTAAAGCAGACTACAATGGGGACGGCGACAACAACGACCAAAGTCATACTTATATTTCAATTGCATGCATTCTTCAATCAGTCTATCGTCTAAAGTTAGTCTGAAGGGTATCGTAGGCGCATGCCGCTTTACAAAGTCTTGCCGGGATCTATTCGTGGATCAAAACGAACGAACTGAGAGTAGTTCTCTAATCTCGTGCATGTGTGCGAAACTCCCACCATGAAAGCGTCATGGCGACAGGCGGTAGTACCACCTGTCCTGCTCGCTTCTACCCACAGAACTGCGATGCATACCATTGCTTTCGTTTTTCTGTATGACTGCATCTGGGGACTCGTGCTCGTGCCCTCCGGGAAGACCACATAGGAATAACAGTGACAGACCCCGTAAGAAAGGCATGCATGCAAGCAAAACGTGGCAATATGTGGCAATAGAATGGCACATAATGTGTAGTATGTATACCAACTTGCGCAAGCCAAAGCGCCGATTCCATTCCCACATCGACTCCTGCAGTGGAAAGCTGCGTCCTTGGCATGTAGAGGCGGAGGGGTCTGAGTTGAATACTACATTTGGCATGCTGAGGCTTCCGTCACCTGGCAGTTGACGTGGTCATGTCCACGAAACCTTTCGACTTTTTCCTCCACGCCATAACGACTCTGCACACCCTTTTTACACAGGCTTGATTGGAGCTCACACCCTATATATACTATAAACCCTAAAACTGAGTCAAACCGACTCACCAGACCTGGCCGGGTGCCAAGCGCCAGTGCCAAGGCGTAGCAACGCCAGGCTGGGAGGAAGCGCCTTTAGGCTTCGTAGAACTACCCATAGGCCAGGCCCCATAGTAGTTCCTTTTTGGGATTCCCTAATAGGATTCTAAATATGAGCCCCAAAAAGGAGCTACTATGGGGCCTATGGGTACTGTTGATGAAATCAATCCTGCATTACCTATAAGGACCCTATACTATGGGAATTATGGCATATTCCTCATTATGGGAAATGCAGGATTTATCATCATCAACCGTATCTTTCCACAGAAATGCCTTACTGCTGACGTACCCGGTCGATCCTGAGAGAACTCGAAGACAGCAGATCTTTCAACATGAACCCCCGGGTACAAGTGAGCCTTGTACTTCGAACCCAGAACCTGTAGAATCCCATAGCCTCCAAGCCCCATGGGCCCTGCAAGAACCCGGTGGAATCCGAAAGTGTAGATGTGAGACCCCACATACGATGATACACCCTCGTAGTACCAAAATAACCATACGATAGCATGCCCCCAAAGCCTATTGAAATAATTGAGCCCCCTGTCAAAGGGCTTTAGACCTGCATCGCAGTCGGCCCATGGCCATCTGGTACACTCTCGCGTCAGAGATTCCCTGTGTCTGTAGAAACCTAAGTGTATATCTGCAAGCACACATACGCGTACATACGTCTCATACGCATACATGTACACGCACATGCATACAAACATTTGCACGTACAGTAAATCAGTATGTGTAGAAATAAAAAATTAGAGATGAATACAATGGTACATAAACATATGTATATATATATACACACACACACACACTCGCGTTTCGATGTGATGGTGCCTTCATCTAGGTCCGCTTGTTGGTCGTATTTGTAGGCATCTTTGTGTGACTATGCTGTGCGTCTGTGACGCATTCCCGCATTCGACAAGTCATGATCATGACTCAACCGCACGTGAACACTTTAGCCCAGCTGCGTGCAAACCCATGCGCACTACAGCAATGAAGCGCTAAGCCTAGACTTTAAAGCTACTGTAGTTCGATGGTGAGCAACCAAGAGAACCCATATCAGCAAGTCTCAAGCTGCTATCCCGTCTTCTGTCACCACCATCCTAACGACGTATCGGCGGCTTTCCCATGTTCGACACAACCCCCGTCGTAACACTCACAGCTGCTTTGCCATCTCAACCCGAACCCGCATCCGAGCGGCAATCACAAAATGTCATCATGGCATCTGAATAGCAGTTTCCCGGCAAAAAAGCGAGCTCACGAGCAATGGGGGCGTGTGGCAAAGTCAATAATGGCTATAGGCGAGAAGTTCAGCAACAGCAGGAACAACTACGCCAGCAAGTAAAGACTAGTACCGTGAAACAAAGAACGAATCGCACGCGCAAGGAGGTTGGCTGCATGCGGGGCACTCGGGATGTGCCTTCCTGCATGAGGGGCACGTGGCACCTTCACTCTAATCCACGTAATGTAATCAGCATTCGGCCCGGGGCATGATCATCCAACCGTCCGCAAGCTTGACAACACCAACTACCCGTGGCAAAACAGGCACAGTGAAATCAACAACACATCCGGAGAGTGAAAACCATATCGAAACCCCGATCCGGAGCTCGAACAACCACATCCCAAACGGAGCGTAACGAAGACCAAAGGCTGCGAACATTTCCAGAGTCCTGAAGCAAGAGGGTCTGATCAGGCTGTGCCTGCAACTATGTACAGCTGCACATGTCATCTGTCAAAGTGCTACCGCATGCTACCGCACTGGGTCTGTTAACAGAAGACTGTGAGCATCATTCTTATTTGCTGAAACTGTCACGGCAGTACTTTGACAGTCCAAGTGAAGCACCCCAGGGGCAACAAGTCGGAAGCTAGGAGTGACAGTGAGTAGGTTTCATGACTGAGCGGCAAACCTGCCCTCAATCCGAGCACGAACTGTGTTGGCTAATGTAGAGGCCTTAATAACTAGAATAGGGTTTTGGGGCCCATTATATACTAGAATTATAATACGGAACCCCAAGATAGTATAGGACCCTTATACTACAATTATAATAAGGAGCCCCAAAATAATATAGGTCCCTTATACTATAAGTATAATAAGGAACCCCAAAATCATATAGGGAATCATTCATAAGGCCACTCTATTACCAGGGAGGCTAGGGGACCGCGCAGGTGGCCAGGCGGCAGTCCGAGGTTCGTGCCGAACTCGAAACAGAAGCCCGGAAAACCCCACGCTGCTCCAAAACAGTGGGGGTTTAGGGTTTATAGGGTTTTAAAGGTTTTTTTTGACACTCACACTCGGACAAGCCTGGCAAGGTTCACCACGATACTGTCTTCAAGATGCAT